CTCGACATATAAAATACAAATAAGTAAATATTTTAAAATAGTATATTGACAGGTTAAAGATACTGACACAGTAACATCTATGTGTGTGTGCGCGCACGTGCACTTTGCCTGAATGTATGTGTGTGAACCATGTGTGTGCAGTGCCCATAGGGGTAAGAAAAAGGCACTAAATCTCCTGAAACTGGAGTTACAGGCAGATGTGGGCTGATTTATGGGTGCTGGGAACTGCACTGGCATCTTCTGCAAGAATAACAGTTCAGTGCTCTTAACCACAGGACTGTCACTCCATCTTCAACAATAGCCGCTCTTTCCAGCATGGTCTCTGCCACTGACAGGCATCCCTGAGCTCACCACACCTGCCCCTCCTGTGGGCATCCTAGCACTCAGCTTTCTCTGTGAGGATTTCATAGGCACAGGCTGTCTGACAGGGCCAGAGCCCCTCCTACAGCAAGAGCCCTGACCTAGTCACTGGAGCTGCCTGTCAATATAGCGTAATAGTTTGCCTCCCTGGAGTGTACCCCTCAAGGGTATTTGACACTTAGAGCGAGTCTTGGACAGTGTAGAGTGGTATGCAGTGAAGCTTCTGAGCTCACATGGATCCTCAGAGACTTTGGGGTTTCCTACTGCCTACTGTAATCAGTGGCTCTGGAGGTGCCTGTGAGCACAGCTTTGCCTGATGTTCCCTGCTGAATGCCAGGACTACCTCTCCTGCCCACACAGGGCTTTCATCTTGGGATGGACAGAAGAGGGAAACTCTCCTGCATGTCCCGCTGCGGTGACCTGATGCACAGGCTCTTATGTGTTTCTTTTCCTTCTGATTTTTATATCCATATTCAAATCATGCCCGGGGAAGTCATTTATTGCATTCCCCAGGCTCACAGTAGACTGCATATGAAATCCTTGATAAATGTAATATATTTATATTAAAAATTAATAAGAAAGCCATATTGTTTCCAGCTTTAAATCATAATTTGATCTCATTCATTCTGTTTAATACATGGTCACAATTCTAAAATTATGTTTAAAAAAGATACGATGAGATGGAAATCTGTCCTGGGAGCCTTTTCTTTATTTCCCAGAGAGGCCTTTGCCTCTTGTGTGACAGACTGTGTCATTTCCGGTGCAACACTCAGAATCTGTAAGGGGGTGTAGCACACCCCGCTGGAGGCTTCAAATGAGTCCTCCATGTGCGACTGCATCCAGGCTCCTTTTAAATGCCGCCATTAAAAAATAAAATTTAATGGCAAGAGAGAAGCTCTTCCCAAACCACGCCCGCTCCAGTTTAAATTCCCTTAATTGGTTTTATACGCACTACAGGAAATTAAACTGTAATTGTCCCCTCTGACACACACATGTGTAGCATTGGGAGACGCTGAGAGCAGGGAGCCTCAGAGTTCCTGGCTGCCGTTGCTCTGGCTTGTCCAAGATTTACTGCAGCTTTGTTTGGGGGGCGCGAGGTGAGAGAATGCACTCTTCACCTTCAGCTGAGATAGAGACGTGACCTGAGCCCATTCAGGGCTCTCTTCTGTCTAAGGCACGCATTTGCCCCAGGACCATGGCAAGCACAAGTGGTGTCCAGGACAAGAACCAGATCTTGTCCTTCATCACCAAGTCTGCCCGTTCATGTCACATTACTGACGCCTACAAATACATGAAAGTCACTGGCAGACTTTTCTCCTTTCTCTCAACTTCTCTTATGTATATGACTATCCCTCAGAGAAAAATCTTGTTTATTAATTACACCTAAGCTCTTATTTCTACCCATGTGATACACTTTTGATCTTTATCCCCACCCCCATACACACACACTATCTTCATGTTAATACTCTGCTCTCTCGTCTTTGGCTTCTAGCCGTTGTGGTGCATAGGATCCTAGAACGCTAGCACTCTATCCCAGTATGACCCTCATGTTGAGCTCATCAGCCAGTGAGAGGACACAGAGCATGGCCAACATCATTTGACCTGGGCTACTCCAGGGTCCTCAGGCTGTCGAGAAGCTGTGTCCAGGAGACTCGGTTTCTTCTCTACTGCCACTGCACTGTCCACAGCTGGAGGCTGTACGGGTCAGGCAGAGTGGACACTGGGGTGAGGCCTGAGAGCTGGGCATCCCACTCTGCCCCCTCTCAGACCAGGTGAATTGGAGCAGTTTCTTCTGATCAGGGTGTCTGGCTGGACGTTTTTTGCCCCGCAGGAGCAGCCTGGGCAGTGTGGCTATGAGCCCAGATGGTGGCAGCTTCCCTATTTGCTGGGTCCTGCAGCCCCTGTGTGGTCATAGGTCCCAAGTCTCCAGTAAAGCTTGAGCACCTGCCTTGCTATCAGATGGCAGCTCTGCCCCTTCAGTGCACAGGAAGATTCTGGTTAGGACCGGAACTGCAGGAGGGTACTGAGGCAGGAAGACTGGAACAGGAGAGGTGCTTGGGAAAACACAGATCAGCCTTCCACTGCCAGGACAACAAGAAGATGACATTGTCATTAGGCTGTCGGTCAAGTCACAGAGAGGCCTGGATCCCTCTCCAGATGGAGAACCGGCCAGAAACATAACATCAAGCAGGGCCTCTGGTCTGCTTAGGAGCTGTGAGAACTCGCCAGCAGAGGTCACTGTGGCAGCTGAGCCTTTTCTTAGGGTGGTATGCAGGGTCCTGTTTTCAGGGGGCTCTAGCAGAGAACATTCATCCTCAGCAAATCACAAGTAAGTAGGAGGGGACCAGATGGCCACAGTGGCTTTCAAGCAGGAGAATTTGCCACGAGGGCTCTCTCTGATTCAGAATCCTCTGTATTGACACTATCATAGAGGTCTCTGTCTCAGACCCAGCATGTGCAATACAGCAGAAGGCCCATGAAGGAGCAGGGAAATGAGAATAAAACATGAAGCACCAGATGTGGCTTTCTAATCTTCTCCTAGAGCTTGGCTGCCTGCAGGGTGGGGCAGCTCCTGCTCTTCCCCTCTGCTCCACCAAGCCCTGCCTTGGGATATGTGTGCCGTAACTGCAGGCCGGAACTGTGCAGATTAACAAGAAACAAGTTCCCTGCATCTGCCCTGGCCCTTCCTGTGGGCCTGACTGCCAGTGGCGGTCCAGAGCCACCAGGGCTTGTTTTCAAATATCCTTCCTTTTTTCTCCCAACATCTAATTGCAACCCCATCTCCTGCCTCTCCAAAACACACACACACACACACACACACACACACACACACACACACGTTGAGGGAGAGAGGCAAAGACAGACAGGCAGGCAGGCAAACAGCAGACAGACTGACAGACAACTTTCAATTTTGTTTCTTTTTCTCCTAACATCTAACTGGAGCCACATCTCTTGCCCCTCCTGCACACGCACACACACATGCACGCAAACATACAGGCATGTACACAAAATGATAATAGCACCAGGAGCCAACCCATAGACTAGAAGATCTGTGTCATATCATAACCAAAGTCAGATGGAAGTGACCTAACTTTTTAACAGTAGTTTATGAAATAATCTCCACAAACATGGTAGAGCTGTCCAAACCTGTAAAGGATAATCATGCTGACTTTAAATTAGCATAGTGGACTGAGCTGTGACTGCTGGGAGTTACTGTACCTGTCCTCAGTGGGTTGTGCAGGTATCAGGTAGTCCTGGAGCCCGTTGCCTGGTGCTTTACAGCCACCGGCACCACCGTAAAGGATCTTTTAGAGCACAGTCACACCCGATACAGTAGCTCTGCGTCCCTCCCCTGTTTGCATCCTGCCTCCCATTGAACAGTGCACTATGCTGCTCAGACCGTTCATTGCTCCATAGCAAACCATCCAAAGACTCAGTAAAATAAGAACAGTAAGATCATGTTCACAGTTCTGAGTCAGGACTTAGAATTGAGTACAGCAGGTGTGGTGGTTTGAATATGCTTGGCACAACAAGTGGCACCATTAGGAGGGGTAGCTTTGTTAGAGTAGGTGTGGCCTTGTTGGAGTAAGTGTGTCATGTCAGCCTTGGCTTTAAGACCCTTGTCCTAGCTGCCTTCAAAAAAGATACATAACTCTTAGCTCTTCCTGCACCTGTACTGTGCCTTCCTGGATGCTGCCTTGATGATAATGAACTGAACCTCTGAGCCTGTAATCCTGCCCCAATTAAATATTGTCCTTTATAAGAGTTGCCTTGGTCATGGTGTCTGTTCACAGAAGTAAAACCCTAACTAAGACAGCAGGAATGCTCTCCAGGGTTTCCACGGTGCCTGGCTGGCTTCTGCATGGATTCTGGGGTCATCTGAAACTTTGCTGGGCACATATCTGGAGTTAGTCACCCAGAGCTGCCCACATATGGTCTCTGCATGTTGCTTGGACTTCCTTGGCTTAGAAGCTGCTGTCCCAGGAGCAACACTAGTGACCAAAGCAGAGACTTCTTGCCTTCAGGTTGCTAACTTTATTTCTGCTCTGCTTTTGTCCTGGAGAATTCACAAGCTCTGCCCAGTTTTTTAAAAAGTTCTAGAGGTTGAATATCAAGATTTAGTAAGAGGCTGAATATGGAAACTGAAGGAAGGCCTATCAAAACGCCACCTCCGTGCTGGCATATGCCATTAAGAGACTGTTAAATATGCATGTGTGGTACATAGTCATTAAGAACCTGGAGGTGAGAACAGTGTGCAAGAAAAAGAATTAGCATGGGGCAGTGAGATGGCGCAGCATGTGAGAGATCTTGCCACCAAAGTGGCGCCCTGAGGTCCATCTCTGGAACCCACAGGGTAGGAGAGGACCAGCTCTTTTACTTTGTCCTTTGATCCCCGTAAGCACACCCCAACTAACCCTGTCCATCAGTATAGTCCCTGAAGATCATGTCTGCCCCAGGCCACCCAGTTAGGAGTCCACCTTCTAGACACCCAGGCATCATGGTGCTGCCAGCTTCTTAAAGAGTGATTGCTCACTTATGGGCCACAGGATTCCCAGGTCATCAGGAAACAAACGGTAAGAAGCCAGACAGGGGCTTGTGTGTTTTGAGGTATTAATCAGTCACCTGTCCTTTCTCCATAGGCCTTTGACATTATGAAAGTGACCCACGGCCGAGAACACAGCCTGATTGAAGATTTAATTCTTCTCCTGGAAGAATGTGATGCCAACATAAGAGCCTCCTAAGGACACTCAAAAGGACAGGGAAGGTGGTGCACCCTTCATCGAACGCCTTACTGAGGTCACACACTCTGTGATGTTTGCTGTGTGGACCTCCTGTAGAAGTCACCAATGTGTTTCTGTGGGCAAACATGTTTCTGTGGCATGTCATGAGAAGTCTTATTTGTGATAGAGCAGAACCATTATAATAAATAATAAAGATGAGTCCAAAATTCCACTGGCAACTTGGCTTTGCCTACTCATGGGTGGTTTTGATGGTTAAGGTGTCCGTGTTGGAAACAGGAACTCACCAAAAGAAGAATGGAATGCTGGGTAGCACTTGGGAGTTGGAGGGAGGTGGATCTCCGTGAGTTCGGGGCCAGTTTGGTCTACACAGTGACTTCCAGGACAGCCATGGCCATGTAGAGAGACCCTCTTTCAGAAATAGAACAAAAATAGGGTAGAGTAAGTTCAAGTCTCCTCTCTGTGTGTATATAGAAGTAAATGGATGAAAGTCATTTTCCCATATACTTCTAAACACAGGTGTATGCCAAGGAGATTTTTATTATTGTACTTTTATCTCTATTGACATATCTTAATTGTACTTATCAGTGTGGTTCACTGTGATATTTCAATATCTGAATACACGTACATAGTGCACACCTATCATTGAGCACATCTGGCCTCTGTTTATTTTTCTGCCTCCATGGTTCACTATCTCTCACAGCTGCCCCCACCCTGACTTTTACACGTGAGGGGCAAAGTGCAGTACTTGTCTCTGCCCCTGCCAGTTTCCCTTTGTATAATTTCCTCCAGTTCTGTGCATTCTGCTGCAGCTGACAGAGCTTCACTCTTCTTTATGGCTGAGTAATATCTCGTTATTTATATGTACTTTATACAAATTGGTGAGCACCTAGAGTAATTGCAGCCTTGGCTATTATGAATGACTTCCCAGTAGACATATCAGGCAAGTGTGTTTGGGGGTCACAGTTTCCCTTTGACATACACCTAGAAGTGGTATCCCATGGCGGTACTATTCTCACTTAGATGAACCTCCATACTGCCCTTTGGCTTTAGGTCCCCACCAACAGTGTATGAGAGATCCTGTTCTCTATGTTCATGCCAGCATTTGTTGTGGGTTTTACTTGCTTCGCTGTTGGCTTTAATCACATTTTAAATAGCATACATGATATTTCATCATAGCTTCAATTCTCCTGATGGTATTGATTGTGCCTCATGTATTTGTGACTGTTCATAGCAGTTGCTCATTTTGTAATAAGATTCTTGTTTTTTGAATACCTTACATATTATAAATATACTATGTATTATAGATATGAATCCTTCACTGGGAGGATAGTTGGCAAACAATTCTTTAGTTCTGGAGGTTGTCTTTAACTCTGTTGTGTGCTGTACAGAACTTCAGTGTAATTGTTTGTCTTCTGTTCTGATCCCTTTGTTTCTATAATCACGTAAAGTCATTGCGCATTCCGGCATCTACGGTACTCCATTGCCCTTACTGATGTGTTTCCATGCATGTTCCCAGTTCAGATCCTGCATTTCTTTGATCCATCGTGAGCTGAGATCTGTCTGTCGTGAGAAGGTTGTTTCTGTCTCTTGCATGTGGGTGTCTACTTTCCCTGCACACTTTGTTGAAGAGGCCAGCTACAGAGCCTGCATGGTCGGGCACCTTTGTCAAGAAGGAGCTGGTTCTAGGTGCGCATGGGTTCAGTCCCATGGGTCCCTTGATCTATGACCATGCTGTTTCTGCTAGCATGGCTCTGTAGTATGTCTTGAAATGAGGTTCCATGTTGCCTCTGGCCCCATGGGTTTTGCTCAAGATGATTTTGTCTGTTCTGAGTCTTTTGTGAAGAAGGACTAGGCTGTTTCAGACATTACTAGCGAATAGTATAAGTCTCACACAAAAGGAAAAGGGTGCTGAAGTTAGTTCTTTGTATAAATCTTTGTCATACTTATAAATCTTTGTGTGTGTCTTAAAGTTTTCTTAACCTTTTTTCTTCTGTAATTGCACGAATCTGTGCTTTGGTGTGCTGTTGGGCAGAGTACAAAGCTCTGTTGCCCTATAGTGAACTCTGTTCACATCCTCTTTCACATTAGTCTGGCTTTCTCTGCTTTTGTTGTCTTTTCTATTTCCCAACCCCTTGGCCTGCTTCTCTATCTTTCTGCTTTAGAAAAATAACAAAAATATTTCCCTTGTCCAAAAAAAGTTGAGCTTTATATGGCTCTTGGTCCTGGAAGCAGTGTGGTCCTTCATGTTCCAGTGAGAGTCTGGTAGAAAATCAAGCCAGTGGGCTGCTGCAGACGAAACAGTCCTTAGATAGTAGGCCTCCATCCACTCCTTATGTTACAGGGATACAGATGCAGGTTGTGAAGGCAGAACCCAGAATAGTGTCCCTTGAAGGGGGGGAGGCAGATGACACTGTCAGAGTGACACGTGGTTGTCAGTGCCTGAAGAGGTAGACCTTAAGTTTTAGCAAAGAAAGCTGACAGCAAGAAGCTAGGATCCACCTGCCAAACCTCTGGTGCCATGGAAACAATGAAGTGTATAGGGTGTCTTATACACACCCATGAGTTCCAGGGCCTTTTCCTAATGGTGCTTCTGCTCATGCCCCAGCTCTCATGCAGCCAGCACACCCCTAAGGCAATGCTGTCTCTGCTAGCAACAGTAGCATATAGGTGGGTATCTGAAGGCTGTTTCACAAGTGAGGAAAGAAGTCTGAAGTCAGATGCACTAGAATCTCCCCCCTCCCCCAGATTTTCTGAGTAACTCTGAGAGGACCTTGACCTCAGCCTCTTGAAAGGTCAGTTCTACCCAATTCAATAAATAGGTACTAAATGATTCTCACGTTTTCAGGAAACGTGAACACAAACGTCAAATAAAACTTGCATGACCTCCAAATGTATACTGAGAAAACTTGTATCAGTTAGCTTAGACTGTATAACAAACAACCCCAGAACTTAGTCACTCATACTGCTGTAGGTCAGCAGTCTGAGCTGGACATTTCTGGTTTGTCCCAGGACTGATTGGTTGTGAATCATTGCCATTTTTGGTAGATCACTTTCAGAATCAGAGTGACTCTATAATACAGTGCTTTAAGTTGGCTAACCAGATATGTCCACATGCCAGGAGAGTTCCAAGATCAGTAAGTCAGTCAACTCCCAGCCAATCAGTGCTTTTCAAACCTGCCTTCATCACATTGGCTTTAGTCCCATAGGTCAGTGCCAACATCAAGTCAAGGCATGGATATGTGTTCCCATCTCTGTAGGAATAGTTCTAGTTCCTCTTTAGGGGCATAGACACAGGAGCCGGGAACGGTGCTGTCTGGGCCATTTACCATAGCAGCTCTGAAACTATCTTTATGTTATTGAATACTTAATATGATGAAATATACACTCTGTATTTTCAGAAACAGACCTGAATAATTTGCTATTCTGATCCAGATTCTTAGAACACCCCAGGGCCCATCGGTGAAGTCTCTGGCATTCTCAGCAAATGAAAAACACACTTCCTACATCTTGGAAAGATGGGGGTGCAGGAGACCAAGAGAAAAAATGGGGGTGCAGGGGACCAAGAGAGGGGGGAACCAAGAGGAACTTCTTTGTTTGTTCCCCTTTAATTCACTGGGGAAATGAAAGGCCCCAAGAGAAAGTCGGGGAGTAACTTCATGGTCCATGGGCAGAGTTCATAGATAGGATGCTGTGCTCGCCAGCTTTCTGAATGAAATTTATCAGTCACTGATGATCCTGGATTAAGAGATTTGTCTTCATGCCTCCTAGAGAAAGCCCGATGGGCTTTGAAATCCCTCTCTGCCAGCTTGCAGTGTGCAAGGATGAAGGCACCCTGCATGGCCCCAGTTTTAATACAAAGCAAACATTCAAGCAAAGGTAAACATTTACCCAATAAAATTACAGCAAAATAATTTTGGCAAAGAGGAAAACAGTCAGAGAACACAATTTAAATTCCGTGTTGCCAGTGGCTGAGGATTGATTGCGGCCCCAGCCTTCATGAGGCCTCCTCATTAATCCATAGTCATTGTAGCGGCAGGCAGGCTTTTCTCCCATCAGTAACTTGACGCCATTAGTTGCTCCTCTGGGATGAGAACACATTCAAACTGAAAATGAACACACCGGGCATAATTTATAGCTGTGCCACATGGATGCCAAGAGTGTGGGGAGGAAGCTGCCTGAGAATCTACTCATGGTGGTTACCCAGACCTGACTTCCTCTAAGCAAGGGCCAGACGGCTGCAAACCACAGGCCCCCAGTTAGATTGGCTGTAAGGAGAGAGGAAAATTCCATACAGGAGCCAGATGTTGAAAATTCTCTCCTAGTCCATCCAGTCAGGAGTGGAGGCAGGGCTCCCATAGCGGAGAGGGAGAGGGCTCTGGACACTGTCTGGGAAACACCGTGAAATCTTCATGGTAACCAGTCACTGAAGGAAGCTCCCTTCCTCTGAGGTCTATAAGAGATCAACCTGATGGAAGAACAAGCAACACCCCAAATCCAATCCAGAAGCCTCCCTAACATGGGGCTTTGTAAACATCGGGGTGAGGATGCTCACAGCATGTTCACCACTAATCCAAAGCAGCCACTTGTCTTCTTCTGTGGTCATCTCAGAACCTCCATTGACCTTCCACTCAGCCTCTAAGTCTCCCTTCTCCTCTACCTAAGGAACATCTATTCATCCTCTGAAGTGCCTTTTAAATCTCCCATCCATTCCCAGAAATTTCACATGTTCCAGCATCATCCCTCAGCTGCTGGGAATGCCTCATTCCTCTCTCCTGCTGTCCTCCCCTCCTCCTCGTACAGAACTGCAGACATGCCACCCTCCATCATGCCCTCTAGAAACTCCTCTGCTCAGAATCAGAATGGCACTCCATTGCTACCCTGTATCTAGGCCTCCTGGCCCTGAGCTACAAACCCCTGTATGAATTTTAAGTGTTGAGGATTAAACTTGGCTCCTCTGTAAGAGCAGCCAGTGCTCTGAACTGCTAAAGCATCTCTCCCGTCCCCACATTTACTATTGAAATGTGTTTTCACTTGGCATAGAAAGTAGCCCCCTGAATGAACCTCCAGAGAAACCAGCTTTCCCAGACCTCAGCCCTTATCAGGGCCCTGTGTGTGTGCATGCATGCAAGAATATCACTGCAGGATATGACACTAGAAAAGAGACCATGAGAGGGGAAAATGGAGGTTTGAGGAGCTGTAGAGAGAGGTTAATAGCATA